ACGACTGAAAATCGGTTCTAAAGGCATCCTCTTAACTATACAGGCCGTCAGGTACCCCATCTCTGCCAAGCTTAGTTCATACCCTCAGAATGGCCACGCATGACCCTACGGACTAGCCACAATATTTCAAATTGCGCGCTTCCATTTTTCCGGCCTGTGAGGGAATTTAAACAAGGCACTGCCGTAAATGCATCTTTTTACTTTTGCATGCCGATATCATCTGTTTTTGGTTTCATTTACTCACCAATAAAGCCCCTATTAACACCATTTTCTTATTAGAAAAATACGTGCCTCTCCGTTTCTATGTGGAAATACATATTCTACCATCGCAGACCTTAAGACAGTCATCTTTCACTGGCCAAAGTACCTGACTGAATGGCATACACGTTTTTCTAAAATTTCCCGTTCTTTTCCCGTGCATTCTCCGCCCAACTTTGTCCACCAATTTGAATTTGCAGTAAGGTCAAACGACCTAGGCAAGAAATTTAATCTTAAATAGTCTTGCAGAGGACACTGATGAGATGTTAAAAAATTCGGTTGCCATGCGTTGAACTTTCACCTTTAACTTAAATCTCTATCCGTTTTTTGGGGGGAGGGGAGGGAGAGCGAGAGAGACGTTGTTTCGTGTTTCTTGACTCGTCTGACTCTGTATCCAGCAGTGACGCTTACCTCTCATCCCAATGATAACAACTATCAGAGTTTTACGGTACTTTTAAACAAATAGTAAATAACAAACGAAGTACAAACCTCAACAATGATACACACAGTCTAGAACAAGAGAGTCGGCCAAATTGCCTGACTCTGAACAAGGGATAAACACCTTTTTGAGTCTGGTTTGACCCTGTGTGGCGGTTGAGACTGTGTTGTTCCCTTGTCTAGAGCCAAGCGATTTGGCCGCCTCCCCTTTTGAGGCTTGTACTTCCCTTATCCTTCACTATTTGTTTAATAGTACCATATTACCTTGATGTTTGTTATCATTGGTATTTGACGTACGCGTCGCTTCTGACTACAGAGCCAGACGAGCCAAGAACACGAAAAAGACGGCGTTTTGAAAATGCGACCTTGTTGGTTTGCAATTTCTTTACCAACTTGCCTCCTCAAGAAGACGCATTTCGTAGTCATGACTGCCAAACTAATTCTACCCCCTCCCCCCTCCGGCTCTCCTCCATAGAAGCATGAGCAGGAAGCAACAGTTAACCAATCAGCTGCCTGAGAATAAACGCCCATTTGTGCAGGGGTTGGCTCAGTGGAAGGGTGTTGACAGATACTGTCCGCGCGACGGGGAAACGACGAGACAGAAAAAAATAGAGAAGACTGCCTTCCCCTGCGGAGAGAGAGAGGAAATCGCTCAGATGGCAGCCATCGGTGGAGTCGCGAAGGTGGCAAGGCTGAGCGAGACTAATGCCGGACAGAAGCTCCCGCGGTTCGATGTTTCAACACAGTAAGTCCAGATATTACTTAGGACGATTGAAAAGCCCCCCATTGTCCTTTTGTGTATTGATTTTACTATCGCTATGTTGATGAAGTGAGGTTATAGCATTGCAAAAGACGGATAGGAGGGTTAAGGAAGTGAGCTCGTCTGCTCACAGAAACATTCTTTTCTGGGCAATCGAATATACTATGGTCGGGAATAATCATTAATGGTTTTAAGTGAACCCAGTGAATGGACACAAGTTGCCACGAGATGCAGCCCTCCCTGCAGAACAGAATATCAGAAGGAGGAGATGCGATCACTAGTACATGATGGTTCTGGGCCGGAGGTTTTGGATTCTCACTCGAAAGCATCATCAGGAAAAATCGCAGAAAATGGTGATCAAAGTACAGGTCGCGCAGCATTTATAGCCTGTGGTGGTCACATGCATACTGCAAAATCCAACAGGACTGATGAAAGCGCGACAGATCATAAGGTCAACTCGTTCACTACCAGGAACGGCTAGAGTCGTTTATGAGATCTGGTGCAACTGTTGACAAGTTAACTACGTCGGAGGAATCGGAAGATTACTCCGGACGTAGTAGCGGTTAGGAAGAGGAAAGATGTTAGCTCTAAGGTAGCATCTCA